TTAAAAATTTAGATCAGATGTTAGATTTCTCACAAGACCCAGAACTTGGTGAACCTTAATACATCACGCAATTCGACCATTAAGAAACGTCGATGAATTTTAACATGCAAGAAATTTGCTTTCACCACTCGTTAAATAATTTTTCACAATAATTTATAAAATAACAATCTTAGATATTATCTAATAATATAACTTTTTTCTAAATAATAATAACAATACAAAATTGATTTGTTTTTAACTTTCAAAATTATGTTTTTAATTGAACGAAAATTATTTTTATCCTTTATCATCTTGAGAAAATTTCATCATCTCGATAGAAATCTTTGAAATTAATTTAAAATTCTTTCGAGGTAATCGTAGAAGAAGATACGAAATTATCAGAATATTCACGGAATAATCAATTATTCCACGAGAGAGTTTCAGACAAAAACGTAATTCAGAATTGAAATTTGAAAACTAAGAACATACACGAAGGAAAATCTAATTATCATTAATAATTCTGATACGGCTAAGAAGAAAGATCGTTCTTTATTAAACGTCTACGTCAATCATCTTCGTAGAATTTTGCTAAGTATCTTAACTTTTGAAAAGATAAACTTTATTAAATTTCATTTCATCAATTTAATGTTCCTCGATACCTTTGGGTCCATTTTAATCATTTCTAAATAAATTCTTTCGACATTCTACTTTAAGAAAAAATTCAAGAGATTATATCTTCCAATATAATTATTTAATATACTTGAACCTAATTAATTAATATATAATTGTTATAATAAATGCAAATATTATCATATATATACCTCAACTATTACTATCACCTGGACAGTGATCACAATTAGAAATTAAAAACAGGGTGAAATAAAATTGCTGAAACACATCAAAACACGCTAATGAGAATTTTTATTCCCTCGCATTAACCCAATTGGATCTTTCTCTCTACGATATTATTACTGGACATAATGGTACGCGATAAAAACGAAAATATCGGTCAACAAGTGTTGCAGCTAAAAGGAACACGGATAAACCATTCGAGAGGGTTGAAAGACCATCGTGAACACACCTAGCAACCGAGCAACAACCGTGAACAATCATGTGCGGCCGACAAAGGGATCACCTGGTGTCACTCTCGTCGTCACAAAGAAAATTTTAACAGTCTGTCGATTATAGGAACGTGTTGATACACCGACCCTTTGTCTTTCGGCTCTACACTTCGTAGACGTCGATTCTATACGCGTGAAATCTCGTTAACGCATTCAATACAGGGATTTTCTATTCTATGAAACTGTTGTTGCTTGTGTCTTCCTCTGGGAAGTTTGTGAAAAGGAAACGAATCGATAATTGTGCAGAAATCGAACATCACTTTCGATAGTTTTGAAAAAATGACGAGTTTTTGTATTGAGATAAAAATAAAATTAGAATACGATTTTCAACAATTTTCTCGTGTTTTTAAAAATTACGAGTTTATTAATTTTATAATCGTGTGTTAATCATAATATTTTATTATTTTTTATATTCTTCTGAATACGAATGAAGTTGAGAATGTCTGGAATTTATTTAAAACACTGCAAAAATTTTGAAAATAATCTGATAAAATTAATAATTTAATTTGATGTTAATCAGATATCGAATTAATACTGAACTCTTTTCTGTATAACTTATTGTTATAATTTTCGAGATATTTGAAAAGAAGTATTATTGTACATAGAATTTCATTATAGAATTTCGTAGTGAATGTCAATCACGAAATTTTTAACAGAATGACGGAGGACTAATTAAGTTCGAAATTGAATCACGATGTGGACCACGTTTCGAAACCATGTATGTCAATCGATGTCCTCCTTTCATGATTCTCGACTGGGATGGAAAATTGTCTTTTCCTTTTTGCTCTGATACAACGTCAAAGTTATTAATAAATGGGATTGGACAGAAATTTGAATAGCCATTTTGAAAACAGGTACAAGATGAAAAGAAGGGAAAGAATACCTGTGATTTATTTTTATACAGAAACTTGGATATTTTGCTTCTATATTTCTACTAGAATAAATATTATTAATTCTAATTTAATTATTGTAATAATAAAAGCAACAATTCCATAATAATATGTATAATAATTCTATTAACCGTAAAATACAATAATTCTATAATAATTCCATTTAATATGATAATTCTATAATCGTTCTATGTGTACAATATAATAGTTCTATTATAATGAATTCTAATGTGAAATAACGTAAATATATATTCAATCATGTTGAACATAAATTTCATAATTCATATCCTCCTCGTAACAATAGAAATTATTTTTAACTCATGATTTGTCACTTTAATCACTTTGCTGCTGAGAACTCAAAATCTGATAGAAAAGTCTGAAGATTTCAAAAAAATGATCAAAAAGGAATAAAATAAAAATTAATCTCGTACTTTATTTAAAAATTCTTTTCAACGATTAAAAATAAAAAATTTCTGAAAAAAAATTTCAAACCACACTCTACCACTAGTTTAATTAGATCAAATTCATTCCTTTTCAATCGAATAAGAGAAATCTGTAAGAAAACAATTTTAAAATTCATCTTATAATCCCAACGTCCCAAAACTCACTATTCCAGTCAGCAACGAATGCTAACAATGAAACCTCATTCCTCGTTTCTTTTAAAGAATTTTTCAATCACGATAAATCCAGTTTTCCACGACCAATCGCCAATTTTTTATTTCATACGTCTTCGATATACTCAAAATGATTCTTTAATAAATCCTCAAAGAAGGGGAAAAAAAATTAGAGGGAGGATGTTGGGATAAAAGCGAAACGAGGTACATTTTTCCATCGAAGGAGTTGTTTTGCACTGACGTAAACAAACAGAGGCCCCACTTTTTGATTAATGTCTCCGAGGAGACAGAAAAAAAAAGAAGTGCTCCGTGAAAGCTGCTCGCTGAGAAAAAAAGGGGGAGGAAATAATGGAGGAACAGGTGTGAAGGTTGCAGATTGATGAGGACTTGATGTTGAATAATGTTTCGAGCGTTGAAATGACGTTGAGATTTGTGAACAATCATCGAGATCGTTATAATCGTTTGATTTATAATTGAAGAATTATCATAAAATAGAGTAAAGGAAATTTTGATAAATTAATTTTTAAAAACATAGCGATAATTAATTTATACTTTTGCGATTTGTTTCTTTTATTCCATAATCTATAAATTAAAAAGAAAAGAAAATATAATCAATATACGATTTTGAAAAAAAAAGAAATTAATGAAAAATCTCAATTCTCGACGTACGATAAATTATTCCTTGAAACTAATTAACATTTCATATTGGAATATTTATACCGTGTAAATATTCCTTCGTGAATAAACGAATTCGTAAGAATATGAATTTTTATACATGTTAAAATAAACATGAATTTATGAATTCAATGAAAAAATTTAATCAAGATGAAATTGGCGAATAAAATACTGGAGATAAAATTGATTGGAAAGAAAAGAATATATAAACGTCTAAAATAAAAATGTAAAAGCAAAAAAAAAAAAAAAACAGAAAAAAAAGAGAAAAATAATTAAAATTAAATATATTAACCTTTTGTGGATATTTTTTCAAATAGACAATTCGTTTTTTTATTGTGAAAAATCCGAAAAAATTCCGAAGAAATTTATCGAAATATGATTCCCACTTAAGATACAAATGATCGTTAAATGAAACGTTTAAAACGTTTTTTCGTTAAAAATAAAAACTCGTTTCGAAGAAATTTAACAGTGGAATTTCCTCTCGACCCTAAAAAACCTAAATTGTCTAAAGAAAATTAATCTTTAATGAACTATTCTTGAATATTATATGCTAATACTCTCTCTCTCTCTCTCTTTCTCTCAGAAATTCGATTAAATGATACGATAAAAAGAAATGTTTCAATATTTATAAAACATCAATTTCTGTTTTCCTTCTTTTCCTTCTTTATCCATTGTTCATTATCAAATCAATTTTCGATGATATTTTTTTTAATTTACAATTTGTACATATATTTATACGATATTTTCCATAATTATATAAAGAAATTCCACGGGATTAATTTCTTCATATTGAATAACGTATCTCGATAATTCATAATTACTTCTGATCTAACATCGCTAAATTTCACTTTTCCGTAAATTTATTCTTACAATTCTTCCATAATTTTCCTGTTCTTTCAATTTCCTTCAAATTCAATTAAAAATCTGGCAAACGTTAACGAGACAACGGATAATCATTGATATCGTTGTTGATTATTTTTCACTGAAACCGATTTTATCAGCACAATTCGAACTTATTAATTAAGGATACAAATGGAGATTTCCGAGATGAATAAACAAATCTCCATGGCTCGTCGATAATTTACACCGATCGATCGTCAAATCTCGCTAACAAAAGTATCTGCATACCAGATTAATAGTTCCCCTCGATTATGGTAAAATCCAATCTGTTCGTGATTACCAAATTAGGGGAACGTTAACAATTACATCTGGAGAATCATTATTGGAAAAATAAGAGGCAACATCGATATAAGGAGGAAATTTAATGTTTCGTACGATGGAAAACACGAAGAACTTAAAAATTGTCAAGAATATGATATAATTAATTGACACGGATTTAAGAACATATTATTTAAAAATAAATTTCATCGTATCAAAATATTCAGGAATTTGCTTGCTAATATAACAATATTGATGGCCGATAATATATTGGTGAGTGTAATATTAATGAAGTGAAGTGGAGTGGATGTAGCTACACATATTTTAACTGATAATAAGTATAACTGTTATTTTACATTATCTGTAATAATAAATATAATTCCTCTGCAACAACACCTACAATTAAAACATTACTTTTATTGGAAACGATTTATACCCAGAAACATTAAAAGTGCACGTGTGTGGATAGAGTGCTAATTTAAAAAAAAAAAAAAAAAAAAGAAGTACATCTAGAGATTTTTATCGTTATTTTGAGGTGTGATGCTTAACGATGAATTACTCACAAGGAAATTGTTGTTGATTCAGCTGTTTAATTAGAAGAAATAATGGTTGCACCAGGATTCGACCTCTTAACCACCGACCGGAAAATTCAGTATGGACCACCACAAAAATGTGCTCTGAAAATGCATGTAAGTTAACTTTTTTTTTTTTTGTAAACTTTTTTAATTTATCAAATCTAACGGATCTACATTTCATTATAAAATAACTGAGAAAGGAATGGCAATCCAATATAGAGTTCAATTCTGACGGTGCAATACTTTAAACAATTACTAATTTTAAATGTGCACATATTATGTACAAAAGAAAAATTAATAACACATAAAAATAAGAATTGAAAAAAACGTTGATAATTGAATCATTCACCTTCCGTTTTCTCAAACGTCTCATGCAATGGAAACGATCTTGAAATAAAGCAAATACTACAATCACAGAATACATCGTTTCTTTCTCGTGTCTAAGAAAACAATCTGTCAAGCGCGAAATACGTTTAACGAATCAAGGTGTGTGCACAAAGGGTGGAAAAGGGAGCAGTTAACAACGAAGGGACGTGGCTCTGTCAACCTTTCACGGTCTTAAGCTCCATCGATTTGATATGGGGATTGGTTGGCTCGCGATATTAATGTGCCAGAAGATGCAGAACAGGCTCTTTGGGGAACGAAATTTTAGAAGGATCGCCAAAAATAGGAGGGAAACCTTGGTCGAGGACGAGATTGAAAAGATGAATCGACAAAGGACGTTGTGAAACAGAAAATGGGGAGAAGAACCCGGGATTTTCTTTTTTCACTGGATTTCTATCTTTGGAAAATAAAAGAACAGATCGTGATGGGTCTTTTATTCCCTCTCGTTTGATAAATCGGTTTGATTCGAAAATTGTTTTTAAGAATCAGGGATTGGGATGTTCTTGATCGTTACTTCGACCAAGATCGATAATATTAGCAGATTTGAAGATGACAAATTGCGGGTTTTATGTAAAATTTTATAATCCCATTTTAATATAAAAATTTCTTCGATTAAATTTTTTTAAATATATATTTTTGCATTGAACGATATAAATTGTTTATCTATCAATGAAAAAAACATCGTGTCGATGATAATATTATAATAAATTGGGAACGCATGCTGGAATAATTTCCTTCCCAAAGAAATACCCAAAATTCCATAAATCTATTCAGATATTACAACGAACAGAAATTCATCGAAACATTCCTTCGTTTCTCCAAAAAGTTCTCGATCCCGCCAACGATCTATCATAATCGGAATAACACATCAAACGACAGGAGTTTCATTAAAACTTTCCAACCTCCATCTATATCGTTCTATTCACTGGTAAATACTTTTTACCAATCACAGAATTCCAGTCGACAACGCGAGTTTCTCTCGAGAGCAACACAAATGAATAACGAAGATGAATAATCGAGAAATTTAGTGATGAATTTTCGAAATGGGAAACAAACACGGGAAACTATGTTGTATTTAATCTGCAATCATGGCCGAGGTATTGGCTTTTGTGGGACATTCTTTCGAGATTTTCTCAAATTAAAGAAGAAAAAAAAGAATTCTCTTTAAAGATTATTTTATAGGAAAATTTTTTGATCTTCCATCGAATATTTAACTATTTGGAAATTTTGTTTAATTCGACTCGAATTTGAGAACTGATTTTGAATAGATGATAGACAAAGTAATGATTTTGTTTCGAGAGTAAGTAATGAGGAAAAATGAATAATGATACAAATGTATCATTTATCTACAATTTCAAACAACCATTAAACAAACATCATTCTTCGATAACTGACCTCCATCTAAAATTAATTTTTCTTCTCGAAAATTCTCAATTTCAAAATACTGTTCTACGAAACATCCTCAAACCTCTTAAAACATTCGATCTTTTCAATAAAATAATTCCATAAGATTAATTGCTCCTCTCGGAGAAGAGGAAGAAGACACGATCTTCAAGACGCGTGATATTGATCGGTGAGGATGCTCGAATTTCATTGATTTCCAAGATTGACATAGTCGCCGTGGCCCGCAAAATCCGGAATCATGTCCGGGTCAGAATCAACAGTTTGCTCTATCGATTAGTCGCCACGGCCTACGAAAAAGAGCGGAAGCGTGACCTTACTGACAACACCTGGGTGGGATCTAGGTTTCCACGTGTCGAGAAGGGGACGTGCTCTCGTTTCGAAGATAAACAATGCTCCAAAATGTGAAAAAATAAGCAAAAGACATTGAAAGGATGATGTTTAATTATGACTGAAATGATATTTCTTCTGATAACGAGAGAGAGGGGGGAGAGAGAGAGAGAGAGAGAGAGAGAGAAGAGGAAGAGGAAGAGGAAGAGAGAAAAATAATGAATTTACTCTTTATAGAATATTTCTGACACGAATTATTATTAAAAAATGGAAGTAGATTTTTTTGTTTTGTTTTAGAGTATGAATATTTCACATTACATATAATATATGTAGAGTTTAAAAAAGTTTTTTTTTCTTTATTTTATAAAATTATTTTATAAAATTCGAGTGAAAATTGCACGATGCAAAAAAGGATGCAACTTAATGTTGGTAATTTTTTCATAAATAAATGTACAGGGATTTTATTACATGGAAGTCTGAATATGTTCTTTTCGTTCACTTATATCTTTTAATGCATTAATCGATGCATCACGTGGTTTCATATAAAAAAGTATTAACCTACTTTCAACAAAGACATATTAATTTAAAAGGTATTAACTTGAATTTTGTAAGACTTTGTGAAACGAATCTAACAATATGCGAAACCATATTAAAAACATAATAATTAATTATTGATAAAAAAAAATTATTTATTATTCAATTAATAAACTGTTTACATACGATACTTTCTATCAATACACAAATGATGTACGTTTATTTATTTTTTATTATTAAAAATATTAGAAATAATTTTTTATCTTATTTTATATCTAATGTTTTTATTTTTTATCGAAAATACACGAAGACATTAAAATTCAACCAATATCTCTGCCCTGACTTTCGTCTCTCTCGACATTGTGTCGAATATTAAATTCGTTTTCAAATATCCAAATTTAATTTCATTAATCCGATATTTACCCGTGACCGAGACTTTCATTTCCATTAATACTTTTGCCTCGTCCGCGCGAACATTGATTCTTCCAATATATATTTCGTTCTCTCTGATTCTATTTAAAATTCAACTATTCGAAAAGATTTCACTGCGTCTCTCCAATATTACGAAAAACCGATCGAAAGAAAACAATATTCCAGATTATGTGAAATTGATTTCAAAATGAAGAAGAAAAAAATCAAAAAAAAAAAAGTTTAAAGGCAATTCGAAAAGTTAACATCAAACGCAATATTATTATTATTTTTTTTTTTTTTGACCCATTTCTGTATCAGTTATTTGTCAGTATTTTTCCAACTATCCTCTTTTTATATTTGCTATGTTCTAATAAATCTCGATGGAAACCAATACTTTCTGACTCGAAGCTCGTTTTGTTTGAGGAAAAATTAACTATTGCATGAAATACAATAAATTCTCCAACAGAAATAGAATTTAACGTTTTTTTATCGTCGGAAACAAAACATGAAATATATAGGTCGAGTTTTGTTTTCGTTTACCGCCATTTTTTGGCTCAATGGTTGGATTAAATTTTATTAATTAATCAATCTTCTTCTATTGCGAAATTAAAAATTGATGCAATCTTTATTAGATTTGTTCGAAAATTTTAAATTGCAAAACACGTGATTTTTTTTTTTTTTTATCAAGAGAATTATTATTCCAAAGTCTGAAATATTCTTCGATCTTTATTATAATGAACGCAGTTATAACACGAAGGCTTTATTTCCCTTTGTTCAAATGTATAGGAATGAAAAATTATGAGGATAAATTAATTTTTGTCTTTAGTCGAAACATCTTTCTCATTTTTTTGAGGATATTTAATTTTTCCCTCTCGTGCCATCTTTTAATCTTATTTATAATGGCATCGCATAATACATTTAGATAGCAGTCATTATGTTCATAAAATGTTCCCACTACTAATAACATATAGTAGTGAAACTGAACGTCATAAAAATATAACGTTATAATCGTATAAAATATGATATATAAAAGTTATCTGCAGTTAAAGCAGTTAAAGCGCGTGTGTATTTTTACAGAAGTAAAGTCATACAAAACTGCGTGCACCAAACTAAGATAAAACACATGTTAAATTCGTTCGTTTGAATTTAAATGCGAAATAGCAGACAAACACGAAGTAATTTATAATTTATCCTTTGCTATAATTTAAATTTTCCAATTATGAACACCATGATACGATTCTTCAACAATACCCTTTGATATAATATACGAATTCTACAATCACAATTTTTCCTCGAGATACCAAAAATCGAAATTTTAATTTTTTTCTATTTTTTTTTATCTATCAGTTTATTGGTCTACATTTTCCCACAGCTCGGATATTTCCTTTTATAAATATCGAGCGCGTTTTATTTTCAACCCGTGACCTCACCAGGCTTGGAAAATCCCTGGAAATGGGGATACGTATTTTTTTCTTGGAGGGGGAAAAAAAAAAGGAAAAAGAAAAAAAACGAAGAGCCTTGAAATTACGATACAGAACAAGATACAGAAAAGCAAAAAAAAAAAAAAGAAAAAAGCAGAAGCGACGAGTCTAAATTGAGAAGACAATTGCGAGAGTTGGAATTGAGACAATGATGACGGAAAAATATAGTTGAAACGATGATGAATCCAAGGCAAAACAGTGATAATAGCTCGATGAATACAAAAGTAAACCGCGATGATGACGGTGTATTATTGTGAATACAAAAGAGATTGCGAATACGAACATCGGGAAGAATTATAAATAATATTGGAAAATATAACGTGGAAGAAAAATATTTTTATTTTTTAACGATAATAACAGATCTGGACGGAGTTTATTTCGAGCAAAATGTTATTTGACGAGCAATGTATTTCAATTGATTTTATTTCGATCAATTAAATAAGAAACTGGCCGATGAGGAAACAATACTCGATTGTTGCTCCTTGATTAAAAATTTGTTTTTAAAATGGCAATTAAAAAAATAAATAACGATTAATGAAGGTACGAAACGTAACAGTCGTAATACGCGTTTAATAATAATTAAGTAGCAAACATTTTGACGCTGCATATTAATAAATCAATCATCTTCATCTTCATCGAATAACAAATAATAAAT